GTAGCCTCCCTATTTCTGCGGCAGTTGATGCTCAATTGGTCCCACCATGCAAGGGCATAATTTGAAAACTCCATTACGGCCACACGGAGTTTTTGTTGGTCAGTTAATTGTTGAACATCAAAGATTAGTTCTAACCTTCGTTCCCATTGCAAAAATACTTCAGGGTTGGATTTTCCTTAGAACGGTGGCACTTGAAACTTGATCGAGTTGATAGCCTCATCTCCATCCCGTGGGTGATAGTTATTATGATGCCTACGTCGTTCCCAATTTTCTTCAAACTCTTCATCATTGGGTTCGTCAAAGTTGTGTGGGGTGGGGACCAGATGTTGCGTCTTGGCCTCAAATGCGGTTGAACATCATTTCACCTCTGAGCTTCCGGTAACAGTCGGATATTCTCCCGTAACTTTTGTTGATTCTCTTCCAGTTCATCCATCCTATTATTCATCAATTCCAATCTAGAATAGTGAACAATTTTGAACTCTTTTAGAATAGTATTGAGAAGACCTTGTACATCAACTTGTTGAGAATTGGATCCTACATCCCCTGCCATTAGAAGAAGAAAGAAAAAAAAAATAAAAAAATAACCTCACTAGAACTCTCGTGTATCACTCCACACCTTATGTACCTCTCCGTCTCGCAAAAAGGACTCAAATCAAATCGATAGAATTCTCCCAAAGACGATAGCCAAAAAATCCAAAACAGTAGGGAAACCAAAAGAAATATAAGTTCAGAATGAATGTAGAAGACAAATAATCTAACACTAGAAAATTATAAAAGTGAAATTCAATTCAAGATGTAAAAAAAAAAATTTCTTATTACAATGATAGGCAAGGACCTTATATAGAGGTCCTTGAGGAAAATAAAAGGCAACAAATAATAAAGGAAACAAACCAAAATGTAAGTCTAACTATAAGGAAATAAATAATTAGGGAAGTTTTAGATATGGAATTATACTATATGGAAACTTATAATAAAAGGAAATATATATTAAGGTACTTCTAAAAGCCTCCATAATAAGTGATGATTCCCTTGATATACTTCCATGATTAGTGATTTTCTCCATAAGTGATGATTCCTTTGATATACTTCCATGATTAGTGATTCTCTCCATAAGTGATGATTCCCTTGATAATCTTCCATGATTAGCGATTCTCTTGATCTTTCAATTGGGATTCTTGCGGGTCCCATTGAAGTAGCGTCAGGTGAGGGCTAAGTGGTCTTCAAGCATCATCCTTAAATTGATTCTCCATAAAAAATCATCTGATCAATGCAGTGACGGATTTTTGAAACTGACGAGCTCGGCTTCGAGTGATGGGTCCCACGGGCATTTGAATGCTTGAAGATTGGACGTCCTCGTCAAAGTACACTATCTAAGTGAAGATGCTTGATGCAGCGGTCGTAAACTAAAGGTCCTTTGTACCGAAACAAGGTTGAAGGACAAGAATGCGGTAAGGAATTGTCCAAGTTAGGTTCATAAGGCCGCCAATTAAACTGTATGGAAAATAAATACAACATTACATAAATATATTGATTAAAATGATTATACCATAAAAAAAAAGTTTGCACTATTAATAAAAATACATGTCCATCTCCTTCATGATCAAGAATATCTCGAATAGCATATACACAATTATGCACAGTTAGTGAAAAATTATGTTTACTCCATCTACAAAAAAAAATGGATATTATACATTATATTAAGAACTACACACATAATAAAATTTCAATATAATGATGAGCGTAATAAAATATAAATAATTTACATACTTAGCTCCATAAGGAGCAGCCGATAGTACTAGACCATTAGAAAGTATCGGAGGGTCAAGATCAATAGATTTAACAGATTTAATTCAAGGAACTAGCATGTATAATCTAGACCATGCCCAAACCTGAAATAAAAAAGTATATCGTGAGTAAAATACTTAACATGTTATAATAATATATTTAAACATATAGTCATAACATTTTTTTTTAACATATTATACCTGCAATAATGTGAGTGGGTCACTAAGTTTCCTTCTATCTTGTCCAATACAGCCGAACAAAGATTATGATATAAGCATACAAGACAAGCGATGCCCCAACTATATTTCTCAGAGAGGTCAAGTGTTCGTATACATGATAAGTAAGTTAATTAGTTTAACCTTAGTACCATCTGAAGAGGGAAGTATGCTACCCATAATCATAAGTGGCATAAACCCACGAGTCCAACACTCTGCTACCTTTTCAGGACTATCATTATCAATTTGAAAATTTTTCAAATGATTTTTTAAAGTAGAATGTAAAATCCAAGCTCCATGTTTGAAGTATTCCGGTGTAAGAGGCAAGTGTAACAACTCTATACATAGGGCAGAAGCTTCTTCTCTAGTTTGCCGAGACGTGGCAGCACTAACAACGGGTTTACCATATCAATGGGTAATTGATATATCATAGCAACATCCTCTAATGCAATTGTAGCCTCACCGAATGTAAAATAAAAAGTGTGTATTTCAGGATGCTAACACTCGACTAATGTTGTAAGAACATCAAGATCGTGCTTGACATGTGCAACTCTATATACCCCATAAAATCCAATTCGATGCAATATTTCAAGAACCTTAGGATGACATAATGATGATATACTAGTCCAATATCTTTCAGGACAAACAAGACTAAACTTATGATCGATCAACTCACCATTTCAAATACGTCCAGAACGATGTGTCGATTGACGATGAAGCTATCGATCATTAGTAGGGCTGGACAATCCATCTCGATATGAAAACATGATATGAAAATAATATAATTGAAATGGAAAAAATAACAATACACAAATTTATTATCCTTATAAAACCATAATATTTATGCAGCAAATCGAGATCTTTTTATGTGGGAGGAGTTAATTGTAGATTCTTAAACAAGTTCAACTAGATATAATATATGGTAGTTCTCAATACCAACTACATATTTTAGCATGATGATATTACATACAAATTTTCAAATATTAAAGAGAAAAAAAATGAAAAATTAATATGCTGGCAGCATTATCTTCCAACCGCCAATAATATTATAAAACTAATCCTATAATGTTAGAATTTTAAATTTTCTCTGACAATTGAACCAATATAGCAGATTACAGAATAAACTAATCAAATAAACATGCATATAAAATAGAAATAATGATTTGTATTTTCTTAACCCTACATCTATTACCCACAAAAAATCAAATGACATCAACAGTGAAGAAATTAGAACCCTAACAAAAAAAATCAAAATCAAAGAAATTATCTCAAATACTTTTTTAGGAATGAAAGGAAGAAGAAAGGGGAGGAAGAAGGGGATCGACACGGCGGCAGAGTAGCATAAATTTTAGAAGCAGCGGCGGCAGTATTCGGGCTGGGCTTGGATGCGAAGCTGTCAATAATGGCTGACCACGGCGGTCGACGGCGGTGGGAAGGCAGTGACAGAGTGAAAAAAAAAGAAGTGTGATTCGCTTCATCGGTAAAGAAAATGGGGAAATTAGGAATTATGGTAGAATTTTTCTATTTCAATTCTTACTAAAATATTACAATCAGCGGGAGAACTCCTTGATTGTAGATTTATCAAAATTAAGTAGTTTTTAAAACTACTTTGAGGTTTATTTTTTTAACAATAGTTTTGACTTAGGACAATTATTTAAAAACCCCGACTATTAGAATATAACTATCAAGACTCTGATAACGTCTAATGCAAATAGTAGAGTATTTATTTTTAGAGGCCTCACCTTTTGATGCAATGCATGAATGTCCTTCACGGTGTCATCCTAACTAGCATTAAACTCCTTCAATATCTTAACATATGGCATGCTTGAATCATATTCTTCGTCGAAGTTTTCCTTTATTGATTTTATCGGCTTAGCACAGTGCACACTCACAAGGACTAACCAACGGAAGAAATTACAAACACCGGTACGAAAATTATAGACCAACTTTCCTTTTGTTTTTTTTATCGGTACGACAATGTGTATTACTGCCAGAGTTCAACACTTGCACCGTGGGCATTTGTACTACAAATCAAATTTCTTTTTTCTCGTATTCTTCGTCATGCTACCAGTGGATGACAGCTTCACAAACCATATTTTCTACACAACACACATCAATATCTAAAAATAGGATTCACCCAACAAAATGTAAATATTATTCAATTAACCACACATGGAACTAAGCTCTAAATTTCGGATCAAGTTATAATGAAATAAATGAGTGAAACAAATTCTTCATGGATTTGGATATAAACTTCATAAATTCATAAGTACCTCACCAAGTATTGATGACTACAGGATCTGAAAATAAAATTCATAAATTCATAAGAAAAAGCTAGTAGAGTGAGACTTGGATTTGGAGTAAAACCACAAAAACAATGAATAGAAAATTCCACCGAACATCAAGGACTATAAGATTCTCAAATAAAATTCATAAATTAACACCTCGAAGAGTTTTGGAACATCAAAAGTTATTGAATACATGTTTATCAACGGACGCTTTTCTTCATCGCCAATAAACCATTGAATCGAAGCCGGCGTTTGTTCGTTTTTGGACATGAGTTAATTGGGATTTGGTGGAATAAATGTATATCAATGTAATAGAAAGGTAGAATTAATATGTACATTATTTGGTTAATATTTCATTTTTCCACTGAAAATCATACTTACTGGTGGATGTTTTGCACGGCCTGTTAAGTATATATAATGGGGATATTAATGCAACGTCTTCGAAAACATATGAGGGAGTGTCACATAATTCTCGCCCTAAAGTATTTTTTTAATTTTAATAAAAATAATAATATATTAATACTAAAATATCATAACTTTTGCTCAGTATAAAATAAAAAATCAAAAGGACAAAAATATAAAATCTAAAACACATTTGTCACACATTTCTAGTTGAGTAATAAAATATTATTATGTTTTAATTTAATACAAAAGTTATTTGAAGACCCGTGGGTCTAATGAAATACATCTAAATTTTAAAACTCAACAATACCATCCCTGCCTATCCCAGACCCGTAACTGAGGATGTCCCTGAGTCCCTAACCAGACCAATAGATAAAACTAAAATAAGCCAATATTCAAAACATAGTTTCACCGAAGCGACGACGTCTGTCTCGCCGGCTGCAGCAAAGTAAACCGCCAACAAGCAATCGCTGGCAATGGAGCCGGGGCAAACTCCAAAGCTATCGTCTTTGCGATGGCAAATTCTTCGTCGTGCCCTCCGCCAACGCCCCTCCTCTGCACCCGGTCAGCGCGCTACAAACATGCAACTGTTGTATCTCATCAGTATATTTCTATTTACAAGTTCATTATTTGCAGATAATCAGTGTGATGGATTCCGTTTGGAATCAATTTCTCGAAGAGCGAGATATGGATTTGATTTGATACCGTGGCATGTGGTGGGTGAAGGCAGGGGTGTTTCAGATTCATTCTCTGACAGGGAAGCTTGTTTGTGCTACACTTTACCCCTCCCTAATTCACCCATGCTTTTCCTACGGTTAGGGCTCTGGCTATTGATTCCGAGTAGATATATATGTATATGTATATATATGTTTATTTCCTTCTCATGGGCTAGGTTTCTCTCTTCATTCTCTTGTTTTAAATTTGTAGCATTTGAGATTAGTTCTGGAATTTAAAGCTTGATTTGATATAAATGGTAGATGTGGTGATAAGTCAGGATTTCAGATCAATACATTAAACAGAAAACTATTACCAATTTGTCTTCTTACATATACAAATTTGATTCATTTTTCTTCTCTTTGTTCAGATTTATTTGATTAATCAAGCACCACAAAACCACCGCCATTTTTCATTCTCAATCACCTAGGTTTTCTCCAATAAACTAGAGATCTATATTTTTTCTGCAAGGAGTGTTGGATCATGAGGAACTTATTTGTGTTTTAAGTCTATATTGGTTTATATACATACCTTTTTTACTGTTACATATTTCTTCAGTCAGACGTTCAGGCTTTTCAAGTAATGCTGCATTTTTGGTTAACTTTTCTATTCAGCAAGATAAGTATGGATGCATAGCAGCGATAACATTTCAAAAACATTAATTTTGTTTCAAACTGCACTAGAATGATTTTAGGCTTTCCACCTAAACATGGGTTCATTCTGGGTAAAATAATATAGTTATTGCTCATGTTCTTTTAATGTGCCTGTTTTCTCATTACATACAGTTATAACATCAGTATTGTACGATATTCTGTGTTTTAATTGTCTCTTTCTTTTTCGGAAAATTTTATTTTGGAAGGATGTTGCATTAAGCCGAAGTTTGTGTTTTGATTTGTCCATATCGCGAAATTGTAGCTTATTTTTTAAGTGTAACAATGTGTGGAACTCATGCAGCCAAAGATGGGAGGCTTCTGTTGATCTCCATGATTTTGAAGTCTGTAATCAATATGACATTGACAACACAGGACTTGTCTGTAAGTAGAGACTTATTCCATGATGAATTTGTTGATATGTTAATATGGTAATCTGACCAGAATTTTTCAATGTGACAATTTTATTTCCTATGATGTTTTGAGCATTATGGTTATCATTGGTGTTACAATATGTTATTAAGTGCATTAAGTTCTTCACAATATTAGTGTAACTCCAATATGCATTCATCTACATGGGTACGTGTTATCATTAATCTCACGTAAACTATCTTGGCATCATGTGATATTTACACACTGTGTAGGTTCAGTGCTGAACTCTTGCATGATGACAATTGTTAAATATGGCACGTGGCATAGTTTAAAGCATATCTAATACTAATTAATTTCTTATGAATGTTGAGTATCCCACATTGGATTTTGATGTTGGGACTCCCCTATCTTATAAGGGGTGAAGAGCTACTTCACTTACAACCAATTGATTTTAAGTTGGAATCCCGGATCCCCTCTTAACATAGTATCAGAACCATAGTGCCCGTATTGGGTATTGATCATGTTTAGATTTTTCAGATTATCATATGGAGGGGGAGTGTAAATGTAAACAAATTTTCTTTATCTTTCTAAGTTAGATGCATTTGACATTTACTAAAGAAATAAAAGAAATTTCTTGCAATAAGTTAACTAATTCAAAATCAAATAGGTAAACAGAAGAAAACCATGAAGAAACTTACCTGGTGTTGCAAAGGAGACAAATATAAAGAAGAGAAGAAATCCCTGTAGTGAGAGGCGAGAATAGAGAATAAGAAGTAACCGAATAGGGAAGGACAGGGAGAGTAAAAAGTAAGAAACCACATATTATTAATTCAATGAGAAAAGAAAAGAACTAAGGAAAAGATGAACACACTTTTCTTAACCCCGCACCTAAAGAAAAAAAAAAAACACAAGAATAAGCTGTAGCCTGTAACATAATAATACTACAAAGAACTCATAGCATAGATTAGAAGTGTGCTTAATAAAGTTGACTCCTATGTATTATAAATGGTCTTAGGCACCTTTTCATGCCATCAACAGCTCTGCTCCAAGACTTGCGTAGGAAATGTTTTCTCTTTTTCTTTCTTTTTAAATCAAATTGTTCAATATCTGAAATTGTTGCTAGTTAGAACAAAGTTCTTACTACTATCTATTTTCATAATATGGACAGAAGTCCAATTTTTCTTCTTCAAGAATAGCCTGATATTACATTGTCCATTATTGTGGTGGGAACTTTCAAATATTAAGAATTTTAGTGTTCCCTTTTGAACAGGTCAGTGGCCTTCCGAGGAAATACTTGCTTATTATTCCATGTCACATCTGAGTAGCTTCAGGTTTGTTAAACCTTGTGATTCAATTTCATTTCCATATGGCATTTCTTCTAATTTATTTCTCATTTAATTCTGAATGTTTTAGGGGTAAAAAAATAATTGAACTTGGATCAGGCTATGGGTTGGCTGGTCTTGTTATTGCAATGGCTACTGAAGCTTCAGAAGTTGTGATATCTGATGGAAATCCTCAAGTTGTTGATTGTATCCTTTCAGCTTGCCTTTCCAAATATGATAACTTCCAAAACTAAGGTTGTGTTTATTTGTGTTTTTATTTTCAATTTTTTTATTTACTATTTAATCTCTCATTTTTCTCCAAAAATATCACATCTAACACCCATGTTACATACAAAACATCATCTCTAACAACTATTTTCACCTCATAAATATCAAAACAAAAACAAAAACACAAGCGAAAACACCCTAAGTGCTTTCATTCTTGCAGTGTGCGTGAGTTGCATTAAGGATATTGTAGCGAAGTGATAGAACCCAGCAAAATTTGAAAAACAGGAAAGTGTTTTGCTTGAGGCATTAGAGTCTCATGATTAAGACACTGCCCTACTTGTTTAGTCTATTTCATTTCTGCCTATGATGAAAGCTCTTAACAATCAGATATACAGCGAAACATAGACGCCAACTCGGCCTCATTTAATGGTACAACGGTGAAGTCGATGATACTGCATTGGGATCAGCATGAAATTGCTGATATGGTTGGTACCTTTGATGTCATTGTTGCAAGTGACTGGTAAATAGTTCATTTTTTCCTCTAAAATATTTCTTTCCCGAATGCATTTCCATAATCTGTTATTCTGTTTCTGTGAAAATTGAGACATGTTGACGTGCTTTAGCACTATGCACTATCATGTTATTTTATAGAACATTAGAGAGAGAAAGAGAGAGAGAGAGAGAGAGTGTTTTGAACAATTCATATTTCTCAATGAAATAATTTTTAATTTAACCATCATTTATAAAGACTAGCAAATGTTGAAAGTCTATCATAGATTCACATGCATCATCATCTGCCTAGCTAATAATTGGTTTGTTACAACTGTTGCTATTCAATATTTGAGCTTTATGAACAATTCTCCTACTGGCAATGTATTAGCGTCATATGGAAGTTTCTTACATGAGTTCTTTTCCCCACTCTGCATAGACTTCTTATTCAAATTTTCTTGTCATTTTGCAGCACATTTTTTAAGAAATTTCACAAAAGCCTTGCTCAAATTATCAAGCACTTGCTGAAAGAGAATGGTCCTGCCAAAGCCATACTTTTCAACCCAAAAAGAGGTGACTCATTGGATATGTTTCTTGCTGCAGTTAAGGATACTGGGTTGCAATTCAACCTCAATGAGACCTATGATATGGAAGTGTGGAAGCGACACATGAAATTTATCAGTGGTGATCCGTCCTGGCCCAATTACGAGCCAGATCACTGCTACCCTCTATTGATCAGCATTACCCGATGAACATTATACTCTGCCTACGACGTTTCTCTTCTGGTAATGCATTGATTTATCTTCACTTGATTAATGTGAATAGCTTCTTCCTCGGCCCAACATATTTCCTTGGCATTTTTGAATTAATTATGCAATACTTAAGTTCTTGTAATGAAATGTTTTTAAGTTTTGAATTCCCTACCTAGTCTTCCATTACTGAAATTCTCTATATTTGATGGCAAAGCATTATTTGGATATCATTCTGATTGTATTAATAATATGGTAGCAATATAAAGATGTAGTTTACTTGTGTTGAGATGTTTTAGTTTTAATTAGATTTAGTTGTTTTATATTTGGCTTTATCTATCAAGTTAGGTTGTTATTATTTGAATCTATCAAGTCAAATACCACATCTATATATAATGCCCCTATCTTAATTATGAATATAATGTGATTTTTGAGTCATCTACAAAAAAATTTGTCACATATTGCAAAAGATTCTTCAATTGTCCTTAATGTGCTGAGTGAAAATTAACTATTTCTACACCCTGCCCAGACATGATGCAGTAAAGAAAGATTCTGATCAGGATGATATTCCTTTTGGATCAAATGATTCGTTTGGTGTATTGGTTATTATTGAATTCATATTTTGAGAAATAGCACATTTTATGATACTTTGCATTATCTATATTTTATTTATGTGAGTTAACAAGAAGCACAGAAGAGGGCACCCGGATTACAAGAAAGCAGCCGCCAATATAGGATTGAGGTATATTTATGTGAGTTAACAACTTAACATGATGTGGGATGTTTTGACAACATGTTGCCCTGTTTTGTCGTGCGATAAGAGGATTGGCTTACATTGCCATGGGAAGGTTTAGAAAAGCATTTTGAGCATTAGCCAGGCCAAGTGTGTGAATAATATCACCAAGTTGAGAATAAATTTCAGCACGAAAATAACCAAAAATGGAGAATATTTTATAACGACCTTTCAATAAGATTAGCAGGGGCATTGGGGAGATATCAGCAACAAAATGAACACAATATTTGAGCCTTAATTTAGACTTGATTTAACTAGGCCCTTAAGATATATGTGTGTTCAAGCTTAAATGGTATGTCAGCTCTTTTATGGATGCGCGGATGGAAAGAAATATAATGATGTTTGTCAAACTGACATAATTCACAGTCCAAAGTAGAAGTTGTTTTGAAATGTAGCAACACCAGTTTTCAGGTTCTCGATGACCAAGATGACAATGTTTACCAAGAGCATAGATGGAGGAACATAAGTGATTGGAGATTAAAAAATTACCAACATATTATATTCCCTACATATCTAACTCAAATCATCTTCTGGGTCTTTGAATCCCATACAATAACCTGATTAGGAAAGAATAATTTAGTTAATGAGTTAGATTAACTAATCCGATAACAATGGATGATCTAACAATCCTAATATAAGTAGGTTCACTATGGGACACTTTAATAGGTTCTTAAACTTGCAAAGACTTGTTTGGAAGTTTGAGGGTTCGTAATAGTAAAAATTGAAATTGAAATAGAAATATATTTATTTGATGTGCAGTATGTATGTATTTAATTTGATTATTATTTTTTTCTAATGGAATGTGAGTTTTAAATTTAATAGTATGACCACAAATATTAGGCAAACACCTGATTAATTTTTCGTATCATTTGCTCAGCTGGAAGACCACAAATAGTATCTTGTTACTACTGCACCTTTGTTCCGATATTGATACAGCATAGAGCCTAGAGGCTTAAAATGTGTAGTACTTATGCATGGATGTTCCTTCCCAATTTCGTTCTAATAGGGCAAAATAAACTCCGATCGAAAGTTTGAATTTGAGGTATAATAATAATAAGAATAATAATACCAGTTTAGAATTGACTTGGGATATTTAGAGATGTATCAACTACAAGAAAGCCAAGTTTGCTCTAACATTTTGGAATTTCGGCTTATAGCATAAATAGTCCCAACTAATTTGTATATATTATCGCATTCTAACTAATTTCAACTTAGGAGAAGGCCTGACCTGAAACTCTAAACCTGGGATCATAGGAGCTTGACATTAGAAATGAACTTAGGATATATATGGATTTCAAGTTTCAACTCCAAAAAAGAATTCTCTACTTATAAATTTGGAATTTTTGTTGTATACGTAGATCAAGTCCGCCACGCCACACCGGAAGGCTCGTTCATCAACCAACGAACCCTACGTTGTGGCGCTAAGGCTAAAACAATAAATACAAACAACTAAATAGGAATTTAAAATTAAAGCGCACCGGTTTATCATTTAAATAAATAAGGTTCGAGTCAAAAGCATAAGTTGGAAATAGTTCAAAAGACATTAGTTCTTAACATTAATAATGGATTTCAAAAACATTTTAGAAAATAAAGTAGTTCTAGTTCCCCTTATGGATCATATGACGTGAATGCATCATTTAGGTATAACGGAAGCACCATTACCTACAAAAAGGTTTGTAGAAAGAGGGTCAATACAACGGTTGAGTAAGCGCAATTAATCGAAGATAAATTAATACAATATAATGCCACAAAATCATCTCACACACGCAAGTCTTTTAGTGTCTCCGTTATATCTCCTTTTCATTCTCAAATAATAGTGATGAGCACATCACAAAGAAAACTCCACTAGGCCTTAATCAGGGCCGGCTCGACCCGATTTTCCAACCTTATTACTTTGTATGACACGTCACATAGTTACACATAACAAGCATAGGGTCACAACCCTCAAGGAAAGCTCCACAATGTGTACAAAAGGGTTCGAAACCCAAAGTACACGTAAGTTAATTTATTTATTAGTTTGCGAGGGGCACCAAATGGCCCACAACCTTCTAGTTTCCAATATAACATACCAAGAGGGGATTGTACGTAATTCATCCCTCCATCACGGATGACGGTCCAAAGACCTTTTCATCGTGAATGACGGGCACCTCGGAATCACCCAAAAAGGGAACCCGCCTTCTCGATCCCTCGACCTAGCCCATTCTGGTTCTAGTTCAAGGTTAACTAGTTATCTTAAAAAACTGGTATACCCTCACGTGTTTGCAAGGCACAGATGTGGAAGGCTATGCCTTATCATCCAAACAATCGACGAGTTGATCGGACTCGACAGGTAGTTTCAATTACCAATTTGACCAAATACTCAACTCTTAGGCAAATTTCAAAAAGAGTGAGTTTTAAACTCAAAACATTTCAATTCTCAACATATAACCAACCAAAAAGTGGAATATTAAAACCCAACAAGTTCGTTATAATCTCACTTTATTTTATCAAATAAACATTCAAAAAATATGTCAATCACAATAGGCATGGTCTAACTCCAAAAATCATAATATTTAAATATAATCGTGAATTTTTTTTCCAAATACCATAACTAGGTTAGGGCAAAACTAGGGTTTCAAACCCATTCCATAAATTCTACGATTTTCAATTTAAAATACAATAATAATCTTCACATAAGCCTTAAATGACATTATAATCAACTTTCTAGAAGAAATTGGCAAAACGTAACACTTTTAGGGCAAACCCATTTGACAATAATTTTGAAAAAACATCAATAGTAGAGGTCTGGGGATTAGAACATATCATCTATCTAAGATTAATCTCACTTACCTTAAGAGAAAGAGACCTAAAGTGACATGGATAGGATCAAATCCATGACATCTAATCTCAAATCAAGAGAAGAATCAACTACGAAATCGAATAAACGAACTGACGGATAATTTGGAATCAATCGACGAATACTCCTCTCGAGCAAACACCTTCATGAATCCACACGAACTGTTTGAGGCTTGTGAATGCTTTTTTCATCTCTCACGTAAGTTGCATTCCGAAGGCTAAAAAATTAACCCTCTCGGTTGATTGGAATCACTCTAATGGATGGGTGGAATCTCTACGAAAAGAAGGAAACTTTTGTGGAATCCCTTCAAAGTGCAATGCGGTAGGCATTGTCGTTATTATGCTCCAATACACGATATGGTCCAGCTCTATGAGGGGAAAGTTTCCCACGCCGCAGCCCCGAGAAACGTTCTTTATGCAAGTGCACCCATACCTAATCGCCGGGTTCAAATATCACATGCTTCCTCCCTCGATTAGCATATCGGGCATATGTTGCGGCCGTCTTGCCAATATTCTCCCGTACTTTGGCATACAGCTCCTTAATTGATGTAGCACGATCCCTGCTACTAAAATTCAAATGCTCACTACTAGGTAGTGGCAGTAAATCCGTAGGAGTTAAGGGGTTAAAACCATAAACAAACTCAAATGGAGACAAATGAGTAGTAGAGCTAACATGTCTATTATAAGAAAATTCAACATGGGAAATGCATTCATCCCATGTCCGCCCACTATCATTTACCATAGCACGTAACAAATTACCTAACGTGCGATTCACAGCTTCCGTTTGGCCATCCGTTTGGGGGTGACATGTGGTAGAGAAAAGTAAGCGCGTCCCAATTTCATGCCAAAGACTCTTCTAGAAATAGGATAAAAACTTCACATCCCGATCCGAAACAATGGTTTTTGGAACCCATGCAATCTCACAATCGTTCGGAAGAACAACTTCGCCACATGACTCGCATCCGTTGTCTAAAGTGCGCCATTTTGGAAAACCTATCAACCACTACAAAAATTGAATCTTTAGGACGTGGTGTCCGAGGTAAACCAAGAATAAAATCCATAGAAATGTCCAACCAAGGTCCATCCTAAGTGGGAAGAGGAGTATACATACCATGTGGCTTCAAAGTACTCTTTGCCACTCTACAAGCAAGACACTTATCCACAAAAGAATCAACATGTTTACGCATATGCGGCCAATAAAAATGAACACTAAGAACATCAAAAGTAGCATGTCTTCCAAAATGTCCAAGGATATGACTACCATGACTCTCCTCAATCAAAACATCTCTAATGCTACATATAGGAATGCACAACTTATCACCACGAAACAAATAGCCATCATGCATATAATAATCATCAAAACCATGTTTTTCACATCTCCTAAATATATCACCAAAATCTACATCATGCTCATACAACTCACGGATATGGGCAAATCCAACCAAATGTGCACGAGTTTGATTAAGTAAAACATACCTCCGAGAGAGTGCATCAGCAACTACGTTCTCCTACCCTTGTTTATACTTAATAACATGCGGAAATTGTTCAATAAAGCTTACCCACGGCGCATGACGCTTACTGAGTTGTTGCTGCCTGCGCAAATGCTTAAGGGTCTCATAATCCGTGTGAATTACAAACTCCTTTGGCAGCAAGTAATGTTGCCAAACTCTCAAGGCTTGCACAACCGCATATAGTTCTTTGTCGTATGTCGAATAGTTAAGAGCTGCCCCGTGGAACTTCTCACTATAGTATGCAATTGGGCGTCCTTCTTGCAACAACACGACACCTATGCCAACTCCACTAGCATCACACTGTACTTCAAAAGCCCGCTCAAAGTTTGGTAATGCTAAAACTGGAGCATGTATCAAGCTGTCCCAAAGCTTCTTAAAAGCAGCCATATGACTTGCCTCCCACTTAAACGGAACATTCTTCTTCAAAAGGGAGGTTATTGGGGCTGCTATCATACTAAAATGTGGGACAAAACGCCTAAAGAATCCGCACATTCCAAGAAATCTCCGAACTTCAGCCACACTAGTGCATTTTTCCCATTCTTGAATCGCCGCAACCTTAGCTTCATCAACCTTAAGACCATCTTCACCTACAAAAAAACCAAGGAAAACAATTTCATTAGTGCAGAATATGCATTTCTTTAATGTACCATACGATTTAGTATTTTTTAATGCATCAAAAACTTGCCTAACATGTCCAAGATGATCCTCCAAACACATACTATAGACAAGTATGTCATCAAAGTATACCACAACAAACTTTCCAATAACTTCTCTCAACACATGGTTCATCAATCGCATGAAAGTGATGGGCACATTTGTCAATCCGAATGGCATGAATAGCCTCTCGTATAATCCACACTTGGTTTTAAAAGCTATTTCCACTTATCTCCCGGATGCAAATGAATTTGGTGGTAGCCACTTTTTAAATCAATCTTTGTGAACACCTGTACTCCATGTAATTCATCAAGCATATTATCCAATCGAGGGATTGGATGCCGGTATTTTACGGTAATCGCATTTACAGCCATGCAATCAACACACATACTCCATGAGTTATCCTTTTTAGGAACAAGAAGAATATGGACAGCACAAGGAGATAAAGACTCTCGAACCCATCCCTTATCAAGAAGCCCTTGGACTTGTCTCCGAATTTCTTCACTTTCTTTCGGGTTACACCTATAAGTTGGCCTATTAGGAATTGATGCACCCAGTACAAAATCAACACGATGTTCGATGCCTCACAATGGTGGTAATCCAGGCGGTATATCATCCGGAAAGACATCGTCAAACTCCTTAAGCAACTCTGCAAAAGGGGGAGACTAGTGAGCAAATGAATCAAAATTTATCATAAGTATATCTTTTAGTAAAAGAATATAAAAGTAACTTCCCTCATCTTGGTTACTATTTTGGCGAATTTCCTTGTTGAACTCTTTGAGACTAAGTAATATTTTGCCGTCGTCTTCCCTCAAAGATTCGGCCGAAATTATAGTGGCAGCCCCTTTTGTTTCACCACATCACGCATAGATCTACGCAAGTATTCAGCATCACGACGTACGGCCTCGGGTGGTAGGGAAGAAATACTCAACTTCTTACCATCCTTAGAAAAGGATATTTGATTTTTATACCCATTGTACAAGACACACGATCAAATTGCCAAGGACGTCCCAAGAGAAGATGACATGCGGTTATGGGACACACGTCACAAAACAAATCATCGCTGAATCCACCAATGGAAAACGTCACTCTTGCTTGCTTATCCACATGAACAACCCCTTTGTCACTCATCCAATGTAAACTATATGGCTTCGGATGCGTGGTAGTAGATAAACACAACTTCTCTACCATATACGAACTAACAATATTAGTGCAGTTGCCCGAATCAACTATCATGGATATGGTACGCCCTGCTACCTTGCAATGACAATGGAACAAATTTTCTCGTTGTTCGTCTTCCCTACGGTTTGCATCTTCACGTGGTAGAGATGTCAAGGCTCGCATCACCACTAAACTTAAAGGATCTTCATCACAAACTTCCTTAACAACATCATCATTATCTTCAATAACTACTACGTCATCACCATCTCCATCACCATCGCCATCATCTATATTAACCCCATTCGCCATTCTCTAAAATCATAACAGTCCGCTTATTGGGACATTGGCCTGCATAGTGCTCTTGCCCATGGCACTTATAACACGTCACAATCTTCTTTTTCCTATGCCCCAACTCTTTTCCCTTGAACCTTACAGCAGCATCATCCTTTTTGTCTACTATTTTTGCCTTGTCTTTATCCACATTTTTATCAAAAGGCTTTGTGGAAACTACTCCCTTAGAACCGGTGGAAGAGATGAACGAAGTTACAGAAATGGTTGGAAACTTCCTTTGATAATAATGCCCGGTTGATGTTGGTCTCTTGAGCTGCTCATCCCGTTTGATTGCCAAATCCACAGCTTCCCGAAGAGAACGAAAATGGTGCAGCTCAACCGTATCGGCTATCTCACGCCTCAAACCCTTAATAAATCGAGCCTATGTCAAGGATTCACTCTCATCAATGTCCAACCTCATCATCAAAATTTCCAACTCCTTAAAATACTCTTCTACCGACTTCGAACCTTGTACCAAGGATTGCATCTTAATATTCATATCCCGCTCATAACTATCCGGCACAAAGCGTCTCCTCATGATCTCCTTCAGTCGCGTCCAAGTATCAATTGGATTTCTTTGATGTCGCTCTCTATAACGTCTCTCCTTCTCCTACCAAGTCAAGGTATAATCTCTGAACTCATAGATTTGCATGCGGAATTTCTTGCCTTCCGAATAATTGTGACAGTCGAACGTCATATCACACTTGGTTACCCAATCAAGGAACTCCTCCGCCCAGCCTAATCCTCCAAAAGTGGGCAAGGTAATCTTAATGGTGGAGAGATCGTCATCCAACCCACTGCTCCAATGATGAGTTCCATCATTGAACAAGTAATCCGAACGGTTGCTATGGTATGCGACCGACCTCATCGAAGGGTTCAAATCGCGGTGATGTGAAGATTCAACAGCGGCTAGTTTTTCCCGAACAACAGCAGCTACTCCAGAAGGGATCCTTGCTCGAGCATTCTCCAAAGATGACAGTCTATGATTGATATCATCCAACTTTTTATTCATGGTATACTCTACATTATCCCAAGTCATTTTTTGTTGCATGGACAATGTTTTCTCCATATTAGCTTCCAATTGATGAATATTAGACTCTAATAGTTCTTCATTTGTTCAAAAGAAGCCATCCTGCAGTCAAAAGACAAACTATATATGTATATCGAAATGTTAGTATCCTCACCCTCCCTCACAACACTCAGAAGGAACAACCACGATCATGAAAGGGAAGAAACGAGCGCAATTACCTCAAAACAGAACGTAGGAATCCTTCAAATACAATACTCAAGAGAAGAGACGCATCAACTAGGGGAACAAAACTAGAAGATTCGACCCCAAACTATAAGCGCAGAATGTCAAATAAAGGTAGATACAAATTCTTTTCCTCAATTAAGCAACTAGTCGAAATCAAAATCCTAACGCACCAGGTAAATAAGAATCATCAACAACCTCTCAACACACTCAAGAGACAAACCCAGTGAAACAACTCCCACAACATGTACTAGGAACCCTCAAAATACAACATGGCTACTACAAGAATATTAATCGATGCACTGTAATAGAATACTAAGATATGCTGCCCAATTTTTTTTTTGTTTATGTTTTTATATATATATATATTATGCTCTAGGCTTTTATTTGATGTTTAGAGCATGCCTTTTTCAAAATTGGATTGCCATATTGGCTCTTTCAATGCAATTTTGCCACACCTTTTAACAAAACAGAAGACAGTGCATAGCAATCAACTTCAAACGCAATTTTAGAGGGCTATTCACGTCCAAATGCGATGATTCCAAAACTTACAATCAAATTCAAGGAGTTATCTAACAGCAAAAACAAGAATCACTCAGAAACTCCCAGCCAATCAAGAGCAGTTAATAAAACAAACCGACTGCTCAAAACAGAAAACAGAAAGTTCAACCCCAAAACTTTGTACTGACCGATCTCTGTATTTCAGGAATTTTTTTGACGATTTTGAGATCAAAGCACTGCAAAGAAGTGTTCACTGTATATAAAATTCGATGCCGATTCCGAAACCTCCTCACAATCTAGAATCAGAGTTCGTATGCAAAAGTTACGGCCAAAATACAATCTACTAACAAAACTCACAAATTTCACTCGATTCACCCCCAAATCACTCAATTCCTTGATCACCTTGATGCGATTAGACTCTAATTCAACTATATTGATTAATCAAGGCCTAAGAACGCTTAGAAAACTACGAACAAGGCTTGCTAATGCCGGCCAAAAATTACTACTATTTGTGTTTTTTAGATCAAATTCAAGAACACTACTCACATTTGACAACTAGGAATGGATTGGAACTAGCATTCATTTCCAACAATTATCAACTATTTCCAATAAAAAAAAATTCAAAAAATCTTCATCACGGACTGGAATTTATAGATTTCCAAACAAAATATGATATCCAAAACAGATTGGGAAAAAAAAACGGATTGGATCAAAAACGATTGGATCAAAAAAGGCATTGAGACATATGATCGAACACATTGAGATCAACTCGAAGCAAGTATGATAACCGCTCTGATACCAAATTTTTATGACATGGATATGATCAAATCCATGATATCTAATCTCAAATCAAGAGAAGAATCAACTATGAAATCGAATAAACGAACAACGGATAATTTGGAATCAATCGACGAATACTCTTCTCAAGCAAACACCTTCCTGAATCCACACGAACTGTTTGATGCTTGTGAATGCTTATTCCATCTCTCACGTAAGTTGCATTCCGAAGGCTAAAAAATTAACCCTCTCGGTTGATTGGAATCACTCCAATGGATGGGTGGAATCTCTCCGAAAAGAAGGAAACTTGGTAGTTACTTTCTCTGAAATGTTTGGAATGAATATTTTACAAGTATAATATAAGGAATATATGCTAAGAAGACCTATTCTAATATGGGCTATACATCTAATCTAAAAATCAACGGCTCACAACCTTTAAACAAAGTAATGTCTTTGATCAGGTACGGGTCGCGATTGGTCCGGCGATATTCGGGTTTGGGTCACCCGATACCATGTCATAAAGGAAGAGTTTTAGGGAAAAAAAATTCTAAGGAAGAAGAAGGGGGGCTGGACGGCGTCTCTGCCGGCTGGCTGCTTCTTCTTTTATTTTATTTTATTTTATATTTTACTAAATATAAAAAGATTTGGACTCATCTTCTATATATACATGCACTCTAACCTGGCTACGTTTAACAAACTATGGATATGCTATATCTTATCAAATCCACACTTGGATATGATATAACTTAACAAACTACGGATAAAGATATCTAAATCAAGAGATACGGATAAACTAAATCTAGTATATTATTTCTTTTACCCCAAACTCAATTTTACTCCTAATTTAAAGCCAATTTCTTAATTTCTTACACCAAAAGTCCAAAATAAATTAGGCCCAAAATAATATTGTCCGACTCTGACGTCAAACTCCGGCAAGTTCCGGCGAACTTCCGGAGAGTATTTTTATGGGGTATTACATCAAGAATCCCAACTAGAACTTTCTATGACATTCTAACTAATTCGTGTTCGATGGTGTTATACTTTTTGAAAGATGAACTTGCGGCATCATTAGTTAGATTAATAGTCTGCTTAATATTATTCTAGAATATCAACTGCACTAAATTATCGGATCGTTCTTGTCAAACTTCTTTTCCATATAAATTTCAGGTCATTTCAGACGAAGAAAATATCTTGATTCAGTTTCAATGAATTGAAAAGGGACATTTCTCTCTAATTATTAACACTTTTGAAGGGTCATTAATTTGAATGCAAGAAAGATGGGAGCCCCATTAGTCCAGTTGGTCAAGCCCCTTTCAAATGCCTCATGATTAATTGACAATAAGACAAAAATTGTTTAGATTATTATATTTGTAGCATCAAGAATGTATTCGTTAGGGCAAGAATCATCATCACATGAAAGAATGAGTTATCACTCCACTACTTTGGCAATGAGTGCTTCTTTTTGCTTAAAGCTAAATGTTGTTAGTTTTTATTACCATAAGGTTGAAAAAAATAAAGATTTAAAGTTAAGTAAATGTTAAACTATTGTTGCCAAACAGGAGCTGATGATCCTCATAAAAGTGCTTTTATATATGCAGCCACAAGAAGTTTTGGCTTGGTTAATTTGGACTAACATTGTGCCCAAAAAGGTGGTTGGTCATGCGCTGTAGAGCTCGTACAGTCGGTCTCAAATAACAATTTTCAAGATAGTTGATGATCGATTCGCTTATGTTAAATAATACTGTCGGAGTCAGGGTCAGAGCCAGAGCCGGAGCAATACTCTCCATCAATCTTGCGCAGCAGCAGTTATTAGGTAAATCATCCAAAGATTTGTGGACTTTTGTAATATAACTTGTTTTTGATATAGTACTTTAGGAAATGTGAAGTTCTATGCCGACAAACAACAACAGTTAGGCCCTGTAAAAGATAGTCTAGTAATGTGGATGTAAACTTATGACTATGGATTCTAATCCGGACGCATGTAGGTCTTGTTTTTTTACATATGGTTCGCTTAGTGATTTATTTTGCTGATATAATTTGCAAGTTCTCACATCATTAAACAAGATAATAATAATAATAATAATAATAATAATAATAATAAAATTTAAAAACTAGATAAGAAAAAGCTAGGTGCATTATGTGAGCCAGTGTTACCATAAGCCAACACTGTAAACCTCTGTTTTATGTCATGTGTTGATGAATAATTAGATCATACAAAATGCCAGAGGTTGAGATACTACGTATGTATGTAGGTTGGTTTGTTTGTTTGTTGCCAATTTTGCCTGTTAAGAATAACACTTGCACTTGTACGGGGCACCCAATTCACTTGTCTCCATTTATTTATCTTCAATCTTTCCTCCATGAATTTTTTCTCTACTTTGGCCTCCTTCCTTAATATTGATTGATGTTGAAATGAAAACATCAGAGAGCCGTTAATCAATGCTAGAAAAATCTAAAAGGTTGTCCTGAAGCGAGATGTACAAGTAGACTAAGGAGTACCAATGCCCGAGCAGCAGCATCAATGCTGTTCGTTCTAGTGGAGGCCCCAGTAGCCAAATTTGCTAGCCACGACCCGTCTGCCAACATAGCCTCCTGACCCGACCCTGACCCGGATTCGGGCACGGCTCCTCCTGACCCGGTCTCATCTGGTGCGCCGTCGTCCGGCTCCGATGATTTTTGGCTGCGAATTGGGTTCGGGGGGTTAATTAGGGGAATGGAGATCGGAATTGTACGTTTTGGGTGTGAATACAAGAAAGAGTTGTAGATACCTCGGAAGGGACGGGCAGAAGGTGACGACGTAATCGGCGGCGGTGCAGGTGAAGGTGCTGGTGGCGTCGTCGAAGGCGTAGCTGTAGGACTTGGGGCAGGCGCCCTTGAACACCTGCGAGTACGCCGACGGCTTGCACAACGCCGGCGACGCGTACTCGTCCTTGCAGCAGTACTCTGCCGTCCCGAACGTGTCGCACGCGCTGCGGCACGCGCCGCCTCCCTCTGCCCTCAGCTCCACCGGGCACCTCCGGTTTATGTCCTCCACACAACCCGTGGACGCGCACTGTCCCGATCCGCCGCTCGCCTCGACCATCACGGGCAAGTTGTACCCGTCGACGAGGCTGACGTCGTAGAAGTCCATGGAGCCCGACCCCAGGGTGAACTCCACCAAAGTGGCGGCCTTGGCGCCGGCGCCGTTGCACTCTAGCTGGCCGGAGCCGCAGTCGCCGGTCGCGCAGGACCCCCGGCCCGATTGGTCGTAGTTGCAGCCGGTTCTTCCCCAGAACCGGCCGGACCAGCCGGTCGGAGCCTGGAACGCTCGGGAGGCGCCACTCCGGAGCTCGAATCCGGTGGTGTCGAGACGCGGACTTCCCAAAACTGCGGGCCAAATTGTCTCTTCACATTTGTTAACAAATGTGAACTTGGCAGCTCCAACTGCAATCACACACACCGTTAGTTAGCAATTGAAGTACAAAATTCAACCAAAAATCAATCATGTAACAGTAGTAGTAACACTTACTTACCATGGAGGCGAATATGGAAGAGGAGAATGGTGAATGCCATGGTATAGAATGAAGCCATGAATGAATACAATACAATTGCTTAATTAATTCCTATATCTATCTATCTATCTATATATGTGGATTCGGATTAATGGGGAAGAGTATCTGGTGAATCTTGCAATGGACTGATAATATGGATGGATCATTGATTGAATCGGAGTTAATGAAGAGGCGGCGGATCGGAGGAATGGCCGCCGGAGATGTAGGAGAGAGAAAAAAGTGAGGAATTGATGAATTTGAGAGTGGATGGAAAGGGAATCTTCATCATCTGCACTCCACTCATAAATACTATATAGATAGAGATACAACTTCATGCTTAATCAATCAATTAGGGTTTTACAGTGAAATTCTTTACCTTTAACTTTCTGCTCTATATATTGGAAAATAATAGTAATGCTGTTTAAGATATGATTAATAATAATAATAATAATAATAATAATAATAAAAAAGCAAGGTTGCCCCACAGTTAGGTGTGGATGTGACGCGACTGCGATGCAGCAGTGCTTTGCGGGAATCTGAGAAATAGTAGTAGTAATTAGTGATTAGTGATTAGTTGCAAGAAGATTAAAAACCTGGCAGAAGCACAAATGGGGTGGGGTACTGTTCATTATTATTATTAAGCATGCACCACCACCACCACTCACTCCCTCACTCTTATCTTTCATTAAAGCCTCGGATGAAGTAAAATACATATCCATCCCTTTTCATATATTAATGTCGTCGTGTATACGTTGGATTCTCACCAGCACCAAAATTAAAGAAAGCACTTGAAGCCTGGTTCAGCATCACGAATCGACTCTTTTCGTTCCAGATATATGTATTAACGTATCGGTCAAACACCCATCTATATATTTCTTTTATATATAAAAAAATATAATAAGCAATTAAAGTACACCAAATTATAAATATACCAGATATATGTATTAACGTATCGGTCAAACACCCATCTATATATTTCTTTTATATATAAAAAAATATAATAAGCAATTAAAGTACACCAAATTATAAATATAATAAATTTTAAAAATATATAATATTAAGAAAAATATATTATAGTTTTTCGTAAATTAAAATTTAAAATTAAATAATATTTCAATTCAAGTAGTATATATCAACACCATATATATGAATATATATGAATAGTGGTACGGATGATTACATGACTTACCATTTTACCCCTTTCTTGTTTCTAATTGTGCATGCTTCTTTGTTGTGTTAATTGTATAGAATAGTAAAATCTGAATTTTCCATGTCCAAAAGTGTTATTTTTTTATTATTGAGGTTTGGGGTTTTCTCACCGATTCAGTTCGTTTTTTGTCCGAGTTAGAAGGTCTTTTTTTTTTAAGCATGTACAACAAAAATGCAAATAAAAATATGACATTTTCTTTTGTATTAAACTCAAGATGTTTGCCCATAAAAAATTTTACCAAAATATATCAATATGATATTATTTTGTAAAGAATATAATTTCTTATTATATAAAAAATTAATAAGGAAAAATAATTAAAAAATAAATAAACTTCTGACATAATTAAGAGAAAATTTGGTGTAATTGTTAGGCACAACAATCAAGAAAGTAATTGTTTTTTTATCCTGGATACTATGATACCACGTGTTGAAAGTTGTCTCAAACTCAAACATTAAACTCATAAAGATATTAAGATCACCGATGCGCCTAAAAATGACCATCCTCTTAGCAGCAAGACTCGCAGACGAAAACATGACAGTGTGAGTCAGTAACGAAAGGATTACCGATGGAGGATAAGTAATTGAACACCGATGGACTAGCTATATATATAAATCGAGACGTTCCGCATGTTCAGGAAAGGAAAGGGTTGCCGATGGAGGAGAAAAAATTGATCATCGATGGACTAACTACTTATATAAATTGAGGGGGTTGTCCATGAAAAATCTCAATAAAATCTTTTAATGTGCATATCACACTACAAAACTTTTGAGAATTAGCTACGAAAATAATTTGTAGAAAAATGTATAATTTTGTAGCAAAAAAACTTTCGTGACAAAATGAGTTTCGTCACATGTTTTATCGCCTATACCGCGTAGCTATAGGTTTTCTGCGACACATTTTCCTTTCATAGAGAAAGGTAAAGTTTTTGCAATGAAAGTGTGCTTATGAGATTTAGCTACAAAAATATAATTTTGTAGCTAAAATTCTTTTGTTATGAAAATAAAATTCCGTAGAAAAAGTGTTTTAGCACTGGAATATGATTTTCATAACCAAAGGTTTTATCTATGAAAATTGGATTTTGTAGAAAAAAGCTTATATCTACAAATATAATTTTCATAACAAAATCATTTTAGCTACAACAAAAAACATTTTATAAGAAAATTGTTTTCACTACAAAATTCTATTTTTGTAGTAAAAAAAGTGTTAGCTACGAAGAAAGATTTTATAGCAAAATGACATTAGATGGGATTCTTGCATTAGAACATGAATTATAAAAATAGATTTTCATATTGAAAACTAGAAAAATAATTATACTCCCTCCATCCCAAGAACTATAGTCTGGATTGTATTTGGCACGAGATTTAAGAAATATTGATATTATATTGATACTGGGTAAAAAGTATGAGTAAAAGACTTTTTTGCCTTTGTGAGTGTATTAGTATACAAAGTAGTGACAATTGTGTAATAATAATGAAAAACTAAAGGTAATTTTATAGTGATATAATTATTTATGGAAATGAAAATTGTTTTAGGACGGACAAAAATGGTAAACAAGACTATTGTATTGGGACGGAAAGAGTATCAATAATGCTAGAAAAAGTCTATGATTATATTAAAAATAAATGGCAAAGTCAAAAAATTATCATAGTCATACCAATCAATCCAAACATAACCATTGCAAACTCAAAATTAAAATATTTACTTCTACTATGATCCAGTATATCTAACTGAAAGTTCAAATAAATATTTTTGCCACAATCCTTGAGGCTCACGTTTTTAAAGCATGAACAAGTAATCCATAGAAATCCATTAGGAATCTGCATAATATAATATAAGTAAATATTAGGAATCTGCATAATATAATATAAGTAAATAGTTAATATTATATGTAAATAAGCATACTACAAACATTTTTGTTAATATAAATATATAGTGCCACAAATATTTCTACTATTATACAAAATAAACCACTTTTCATTATATCCCATAAAGTAACACCAAAATTATAAGCAACCTCAACCACAAACTCACACAAAGATTATGAACAAGAGATTTATTTGCGGCTGCGGTTCCTACTTCATAAAAAAAAAAATTATGAACAAAGCATCCAACTAAGGGGAACTGCAATGATCCGCCCAACAAAAAGCATCTATCTGATTAAAAAAACTGATGTATTAAAGTATATGATAAATTTGGAGGTTTGGTATTATTTATTACACGCAATGGTTCATTAGGCTTTAGGGCTCACCAAGAGAGGAGGAGAATAAAAGGCTGTGTCAGATAAATGAAAAACATGAGAGAGAAAGAGAGGTGAAAAATATGAGAGAGAAAGGAGTGCATCGATGCAGACATCGCTTGCACCAAGTCATCTTCAAGGACGGAGAAATTTTGAACCTAGAAAAATAAGCCACTGCAAGATCAAATTTTCAAAGAATAAAAATTTTCAATCGAGTCAGCTAGGGACGCCCTCTAAACATGGGTCACTGTAATTGCTCTGAATAGTAATAAATATACATGTATGTCATTAGCACCATGTTATCAATACCCACTTTAAACCAACTAGTTATAAATACATTCTCACTAGTATACAAAATAAACTAATTCTCATCATAGCAAAATCAACACAAATCTATTTTACAGACTTTAACAAATAATATAGTAGAAAATGTCCTACAAAGATTGCATTATGTGCATATCATAGTAACTCTAAATAGAGCATATTGTAATGTTTCTTCAATAAAGATGCTATCAATAATATAAACAAACTTAAGAAAAAATTTTAAATAACCTTATTACCTACCAAGAATAATTTGCATTTCACTCTTCCAATAACATTTTCACAATATCATTCAACTCATTAATTTTTTGGTCCTGCGAATTAATTTTCTTTTGTTGGGACTGCGCTAAAGTTTTGACTGCTTCAAGCTCATGTGTTAAATGATCAGAAATTTTAGAAGATTTAGCTCTTCCAAATTTGAAATCTATTGGCCTAGGGCCAAAACCAAGGCTAGGTATGCGTCCTGACTTCTTTCCAAGAACAGTGTTAGCAATTTCATCTGCATTCATTTCTTCAGAACAATCTCTCAACTCTTGCATAGTTGACTCCAATCATTTTTTAATGTCAATAATTACAAGTATTAGTAAACAACCATTTGAAAAGTAAGAAACATTTGACCAATAAAGAAATATAATTCATATGTATTTATCCTTTTCCGACTCAGTTTTAAATGCATTTTTGTCCGGTCCACTATATGTTTTTCTAAAGAATTCAATACGATCAGGATCTCCCTATCATATATTCTAGATTAGTGTTCTTTGCATATGCTATAAAGAGAATAATCATATAGAAAAGAAAGGCTACCATTTCATGACGAGCGACAACAAATGATAGGGAACCCATATAGTGCTTCGAATCATTCTTTGCCCTATTTTTAGTATTCTGAGCAAACTTTTTCTATGTTTACAAAATAAAGAAACATTGTCATAAAATATTTTGGAGCATATTGAATAAATAGTTTTTTGTAATGACATTTGACGTTACTATTTAGAAAAAATTTTAAGAACTATAGCTTAAAATTTAGTTTGCAATTTTGAAGATAAAACCGGATATTCTGGATCTTCCCATAAATTGCAACATAGTTCCCAATCTTTTGAATCTATTTCTTTAGGAGGATTAGCACGGGCCCAATCATATAAATTTTCGTCTTTAATGCAAGTTTTACATTTTTTATGAAGCCTACATTTATGATCTCTATAATGATTGCCAAGTATGGTATTTACAAACCTTACAACTTGCGGCTCTTCATCAATCAAATCAAATCGATCATGTATTTCAGTTCAAACATATATATATTCTAAGTCAAATATACTATAAATAAAGCTAAGAAAAATGATAAAAACTTCATGAAAACTATGAAAGGGTAACCAAATGATGCATTTACATCTATTGAAAAATTAGCACAAAAAATTATAGATTACTTGAATGACGGCTAAAAGTATGAAAACAACATAAAGATTACTTGAATGACGGCTAAAAGTATTTATCAAACTGCTATTAAATTTTTCTAAATGCAATTTTATTATGAATTGAAACAAATACT